ACAAAAGAAAGGTTCGGTAATGACTTTCAGCTTTCACAGTACTTGTTTGACGGATGCCGTTTTTTGTGATCAACCATATTTAATATTGCAAATTTAAATATATTTCCAGCACTAAAGTTGTACTACAACCAAGCACAATCCAGCCAGGACATCAAACGAGGCATGTCCAGTACTATAAAGTTGTACTACAACCCAACACAAAACAGCCAGGATTCAAAACGAGACATTTCCAGCACTAAAGTTGTATCATTACCGGCACGCTTCAAGCTCGGCTCTCGGCCCGATCCCCACATCTGCTCAATGCCCTATTCAATTTTCGGTGCGTTTGGAAGCGTGCGGAGGACGAATCCAAGCAAGTCGAGGCCTTCGAATTAAAAGGTTTCTATCTGCATTTACTAGATAGCTTCACTGACAAGGCGCAAGCTTCATACAGCCCAGAAACCAGCATCCGGACCGAAATCTCGGCACTTCTTCTCACTCCTTTTTTGCATCGCTCAGCTAGTCGCAAGCTCTATCAAAGTTGCTACGGACGTCTGACAGCACCACTGAATGCTTGAATGTCAAAGGTGGCTCTGTTCGTACGACTGCATAGTAACGTGCAATATAGTATGTCTTTGCCAGAACAGCAAGAACTCAGGTTTCAGTTCACGCTTGGTTTTGCTTCAGGACCTGAAAAAAACAAACACGATCTAGCGGTGCTGTTCGTCCAATCACTGGGTCGCTCCCCGCTTCTTGCAGACATCCTGCCGAACGCCTGCTCGCCGCAAGCTATCTTTACGCTTCAAAGTGTGAGGTGTGCGATGCACACGAGTCCGTCGTTCGTCCTTGCTGGCCGCAGGCTTCTTGCGAACCGACTTTTTGACTTCTGCCTGCTGTCTCTTCCTTTCCTTCAGCCACGGAAGATTTGCTTTGGCAGGGACGCCTTCCTGGTCCAGCTCGCTGCACCAGTCGTTCCACTCACGGCCAGACCACACACTCTCAGAAGTGACGCGAGCCAAGACTTCTGCCTGCTTCATCTGCCGTGTCGTCGGTCTGTACAAGGCTGCGTTGTGTGACAAGTTTTTGGCCAGCTTCAATATGCTAAGCTTCAAATATAGACTTGTTTGATGCAGACGATATGTCTCTCTAAACCAGACATTGATTTCGCGATGAAGACTTTCATTAGACGTAGTCCCCGTTGGCAGCAATGTCAAGCGAGAAGAAGCCATGCTGTGAAGCATTCTGGTATTGTTGAAATACCACTCTGCGCGCCCGGCTGCTGTGGCGGAGTGCAGCAGCTTGTAGACCGGACGATTCGGGCCTGGCGCAATACGCTTCACTTCTTCACTGTACACGGAACAAATGGCTGCAATTGCTTTGATGAAATCCAGTCGAAAGTAAAATGGCTTCTGTGGATCCAAGTTCTTCAGGATGCGTTCAGCCTCGCGTGACTTCATAGAACGACTCTCAATATGATTTCGAGCAATGTCTTCTTCATGCGTTAGCGGCCTGCACGAGGAGCCTGAAAATGTCGGACCCCATTCTTGTCCGCTGCATTGGTCGTCCCGAGCAGTCAGCTTGCTCAAAACTAATCGCAGCATCTTCGACCCTGGAGTTCGCTTCCGGCTCGAGGCGAACTCATAAGTCATCGCAAGATGCACAGGGTCAAGCGCCATGACCTGGAGGTTGGGGCAGATCAATCTCAGCTCTTCCCAAAACTTTTTCGATGGGTTGTCAACTCGCACAAATTGAATTTGCCCCAGGCCACGACTTGGGATTCTATTCGCCATGGTTCGAACACATGCCTCTGACTCGTCCGTGGCTATTGGCTCCAACACCATCACTGCGCCGGTTCTGCCACGCAGAGTCATGACCTGATGTCGTGGAGTAGACTAAAAACGAAGCGACGACTGTTTAGCTTAATTACCTGTATTTAACACGCACGTAGCGTGACCATTAGACACAGACACATTAGAAATGCGGCCAGAAAACTCGGGTTCGAGCATCTTCTCCACGAAATGCAGCCCTCTCTTTGTCTTCTTTACTGGACCTAGGATGCACTTGTCCGAGTAAAGGCAGACAGCATCTCATCGTGCAGTCGATGCTGACAGCCTGGAGTTCGTCGTGCTTCAGAACTTCTGCCGTTAAGTTCGACTGCATAGACAGGATTTTGGGAGACTGAAAGATGTCCTCGATGATGGGCCACCAATGGTTGACGAAGCGAGGCAGCAAGCTGCACATGTCCGGCGTCACTCGCCCAACCAAGACTGCGTGCAAGCTGTAGACCTGTGCGAGAACAAACGAGGCAACTGTCATGCTCGACTTCCTACGCTGCCATATCCAGTAAAGCTACTAGTTTGTATGCTTTCTGCACTCCAGCCTTCGCCTCATGCATAAGAAATTCTTGGAAGACCATTTGTCCGAACTCCTGCGTGTAGTATAAATTTCGTACTCGGCGCAATGAAGACCGTTGCAGACATTCCAAGTTCCAGTACTCAGGTCCTCTGTCTGTGAAAACCAACCGAATGTGACGATCGATAAGCATTCTTCGGCTGGAAAGTGCAGGCTGAACCGTGCTCCGCAAGATCTCAGAGCTGCGCGCGAGATAGTTCTCTGAAGACTTCCGGGAACACTGATCAGAATCGTGCAAAGAAATGATTATTTTCAGCTGTTTGGTTCCACTGGCCACATACTGTTTCCTTTCGTTGTGATAGTTCTTGACATGCGCCAAAACTCTTTTTGTCGACTGAGAGCAAGAGAAGGATCTGAACGGACAAAAAGGACATCGGTACTCGTTTTCCTCAGTCCGTACAATCTGATGGACGCAGCAATTTCCAGCTTCCCTCTGCAGCTTGCCCAGAAGAACATCGCCCACTCGAACTACTGCTTCGTCATCTGAATCTTGGAGGTCTTCGTCCTGCTCTGACAAACTGTCGTCGTCCACAGCGTCCTGGTCGACGTCCACAACGAAATCATCGCATTCTCCATCTTCCTGTCCAGCTGCTTGAAAGTCTAGCAGACTCTCGATCTCCCGTGCAGTAAGGCTGTCGTCGGCATTGCTGCCTTCTGCAGGCATTTCGTGTTTATTCCGGTAAACCTCGAAGAAGAGAATGTATTTGCTGTCGACGGCGAGCTTTCTGAACAATGTAAAGTCCTTTTCGGACACTGTGCGTTGCACTGCGCCGTCAGTGACTTGCACTTCCCCGTCCAGCAGTTCGACAGCCACGCAATGCGGCTTGCCGTGCGTTGCCACGTGCATGAGAACTTTGCTTGTTCGTGGCAAGGAAATGCTGGACAGATCTGGCAGCAGCACAAGGCCTGTGCCTTCGCTGACTTGTGCGTATGTTCGATGATGTCGTCGCTCGAAGTAATGCTGGAATTCGGACTCCGTGTTGGCGACCATGTCATGTGCCTCTTTTGCGAATCCCAAATGATGCAGGCTCGCAAGAATGCAGTTGCCTGGTTGTAGAAGTTCTGCTGGACACTCGCTTTCCAACGCACTCGACTTTCTCTCAATATGTTGTAAAAAGAACAAATGCTCTTTCGCCCGAATTCGAACATTGAAGCCAGTCTTTCTTTGTATATGGGAAGAGCATGCAGCGCAAAAGTCGTCGACGTTCTCCATGACGGCTGTGCTTATCCGGAGACCATCGAAGTGCATGGAGACGTGCTCGGGGTTTCGACCTTGGACTTTGTCCAACCAAGCATCTACAATGACGTCCTCTGCGACTGTCCACAAATGATGTAGTGTACTTGCTTCTGGGTTTTCTTTTTCTTCGTTCTCCAGCATCTGCTTGAAGACTTCTGGTAGTGCTGCGACAGCGATCCATCTGCAATAGACGGACAGCTCTTGCAACTGTTTGACAAAGCTGTTGTCTCTCAGGGATGTTGGTGGGCTGCCTCCGTTGAACACTTTATTCAACACGTCCTTGCCAGTTTCTCGATCGACTTGAAGTTCTTCCGCTATGACTCGGTCTCTTTCTTGTGCACATCTCCGGAGTGTTTCACGTTGCTTGCTCCATTCTCGCTGATTAATCTCAAGCCGGTCAAGAAGCTGCAACATGACCACGAAGCAGCAGTTTTCTATGTCCAAATCTGTTGTGTGCGGAACCACAACTGCTTGCCAGGCTCTGCCCAGATTCTGACATGCTGGACCACGGGCATAGCGACGAGTGCGGATGCCGATGTCTTCCGGCGCCCACTTGTACGTCACATTCTGTCGAATCAAACCAGAAGCTTCAAATGGATTCTCGTTGCTGTCGAGTCCGCGAGCTTGCGACACAGAAACAGAAGCGGAGGCAGCAGAGTCAGCTTGCTTTTTGCCTTTGTGTCGTTTGCGAGGTTGCGCTGCAGGCTGACTACTGGCCGTCTGATTTTGAGCTTGACACTGCAACCTTTCTAGTAAGTCCTCGGCGGCGTTCTCTTGATTTTCTAGCTTTGTTTTGCGGCAGTTCCAATGCTCGATGATGTCGAGGAGCTGTGGACTTTTCTTTCCTCGTCGACACTGCAATCTGCGCACAATGGAGCGGTACACTTTCAGCAAGATTTCACAGTTGACTTGGCGCGATTGGATTCTTTGAAGCACTTGCCACAGCATTCTTGCGTCGTACGACTCGGCAAGCTCCAGAACTGTCGCTGCGGGCTGGGCGTCGCAGACGTCGGTCAGCTGTTTGTTGAATGGAACTATGGGAA